TAGTGAACATCACTTAAGTCACGAAGCTTGAACTCAGAGCTGAGTAACTGTATAAGGTGATGAAGTATAGCAGAGTTGTTACCCGTTGGTAGAATATCATCAACATACACCAGGAGATAAAAGATATTAGTACCATAGATAAGATAAACAAGGAAGTGTCAACCTTGAAAGCTTGAAAACTGATGGAGAGAAAAAAATCACTTAGACAAGTGTACCATGCTCTCGGTGCTTGTTTTAAACCATACAATAATTTATGAAATCTACACACATGAGATGGAAGAAAGGGGTCAACAAAACCTGGAGGCTGTTTCATGTAGACCTCTTCAGTAAGAACACCATTGAGAAAGACATTATGAATATCAAGCTGATAAATCTTCTAATTTTGCAAAATCGTGATAGAAAAAACCAATCAGACAGTGCCTACTTAATAACTAGACTAAAGATTTCAGAATAATCAATACCTACTTGCTGGGTAAAACCTCTAGTAACAAGGCGCGCTTTATAGCTCAATACCACCATTAATATGACGTTTGATCTAATATACCTATCTACTGCAAACAACGTTCATCGAAGGATGAAATGGAACCAAAGACCAAGTGCGATTTGTGCGCAAAGTGGCGATCTCATCACACATAGCATTATGCCAAACTACATACCGGTCAGCATTAGAAAATGAAAAAGGCTTAAAAGAGGGAGAATGCAATACCCATGTAAAGGTAGAGGTGGCGACAGTGGAAGCAACCAGATTTGCTATCTTCAGCTGCCACTATCTAAAAGTCATAGGATGTCTACTACGTGCTGGTGGAGACGCAGGGGAAGATGGTGGCAGTGAGGAGACTTGTGGCAGCTGATAAGAAGATAAATCAACCATAAGTTGCAGACTTGCGAGAGAGGATGATGAAGAAGTAGCCTCAAGTACAGGACTGTCAGCAGAGGAGGGGCTATAAACAGAGATTGAATCTGTAGGAATGTTGGCCAGGGTGGGCGAAGCAGAGGAGGGACTAGAGAGCACCTCAAGACCATAAGGAGATAAAATCAATTGACGAATTGAACCTGCATCATAAGGGTTAGATAAACAAGCATGAGATGATGGTTAAAGGATGGTTGGAGGTTGTGGTCGAGTGGCTGTTTGGAGTGGCAGAGCTAAGTGTTGTGGGCTATTTGGGTGGTTGGTGGATATAGGTGGTGATGGATGGTTTAAAAAATTTAGGAGAGTAACAGTAGTGAGTGGGGTGGTGGTTGTGGTGGAAACCTTTGCAATCTATTCAGAATTATCAAATGAAAACACATGTTCATGGAAGCGAACATGATGGGAAATATAAATACGGTGTGATACAATATCAAAACATTGATAACCTATATGCGAGGAACTATATCCAAAAAACACACATGAAGAGGAATGAAAATCCAATTTATAATTATTATATGGACGCGAAAAAAGAAAACAGAGACACCTAAAAGTACATAAAAAATGATAATGAAGAGACCATTGAAATAAACAATTAAACGGAGAGCGATGGGCAAGAATAGGAGTAGGCATGCTATTTATAAGATAAACAAAGGTTTCAAAAGCATAATTACAAAATCAAAAAGGTGTTTTGCATTGCCCTAAAAAAATAAGACTCGTTTCCACAATGTGCCTATGACGATGCTCTACAGTGCCATTTTGTTCATAAGTGTGGGGACAAATTAGACGATGATGAATACCAATGATCTGAAAAAATATAGATAATTTTCGGTATTCACCACCCCAATCAGTTTGAACAGATTTTATTTTTAATGAAAATTGATGTTCAACGAGAGTTTAAAATTGATGAAACACAGAGTAAACATCAGACTTGACAACGAGAGGATAATACCATACATATTTAGTATAAACATCAACAAAGATAACAAAATAACAATAATCATCTAAAGAAAAGAGAGGAGTAGGGCCCCATACATCACTAAAAATTAATTCAAACGGAGCAGAAGTTTTGTGACCCGTAGGTCCTAAAGACAAACGCGATGATTTTCCTAAAGGACAACTTTGACATTGAAAATTAAGACTTTTATTGTTACAAATGATCTTATTTTTTGAAATTAACAATTGAAAAATACATGAAGTAACGATGCTATAAATCAGCAGAGGCAGAAGTGTAGGGAGACCAATAGGCTTGAGGAACTGACATGACAGAAGGCTTGGTCAGGGCATAGAGATCATCTTTACTCTGACCTGACAAAAGGACTTTATGGGTGTTGAGATCCTTGATATAAAACACACGAGGGTGAAATTCAAAATAAACATTATTATCAATATAAAATTTCTTAATAGAGAGTAGAGGTTTTGTGATTGTATGAACCTGAAGAGCATTAGATAAAATGAAAAAACGATGTGGTGTATATATTTTTGTATGACCAAGATGAGATATAGGGAGGCCCTTACCATCACCAACATGTAAATTATCATGAACAAGATACGTTTTGAAGCAATCAAGGTGGCAAGATCAGGTTTGACGTGTTGATTGGCACCGGTATCCTGAAACCAGTCAACAAAACCGGATGAGGAGAGATTGCATTGCACCAGATTGGTAGTAGGCTATTGGTCATAACCTCGCTACTGGAATTGAGGACAATGAGGGACATAGATGGCAGTATGGATTCTGCCCCCTATTGCGTTGCCAAGAGTCCTACCGATTGTCACTAAAGGAGGAGTTTGAAACCTGCGGTGATCAGGTCTGGAGCTAGCAAATCGGTTGCCTCTGCTACTGGACTAGTTTGGACGTCAGCCACCATTGAAGCGGCCTTTGCTACGGCCAGAATTGCTAAAGGTCTGGCATTGCGCAACAAGGGCAGATGATGGAGTGTTGGGTGTGGGTAGTAGAGGAGCATGTATGGCAGCTGAAGATTTGTGAAGAAATTCATACGTGAGGAGATGACTATGAAGATCTACATATGATAAAGGTTTGGTCTTGGTAATAAGACTTGTAACTAAGTCTTTAAATCTCCCCAAAGACCATGAAACATATATAAATTGAAATCTTCAAGCGAAATTGGCCGACCAACAACAGCCAATTCATCAAATAAAGTCTTAGCTTTTTGCATAAATTGAGTTACTGATTCATCACCTTATCGAAGATCCTGAAGAGAGTCATGAAGTTGCATAATACAAGAGTTGGAGGTGGAAGCAAGAGTGCGCTTAAGAGTGTGCCAAGCTGAATAAGAGCTTTGACAGCCAACAACAAGATGTAAAACTTCCATAGATAGGGAGGAAAGAAGAGCACTTAGAATGAGTTGGTCTTGTTGTTTTCAGCTAAGAAAAAACGGATTTACCTAAAGAGAGATACCATCACAAGCAAGAACATGTGAAGGTGGACAAGTGTTAGAGCCATCAACAAAACCAAAAACTCTTTGGCTTATGAGATACGGCAGGATCTGCATACGCTAATAGAAATCATTGGTGTTTGTTAATTTAAGGGAGATGACTTGATGAGTGTGAGAGATGGAGATAACCCTTGCAGCAGCAGAGACAGCAGCTGCATCAAACGTGAGCTGCAAGAGAAGGTGTTCACCAGCCATGGCAGAGGAGAAGCCAGGCGGTGACGTAGCAGAGGAGGCGCTGCAAGAAAAGAAGGCTGCACTGCTGGTGCTATAGCAGAGAAAGATGTATATAACGGCTATTCCATTAAAAAAGGGAGGCTTTGAGGCTGTGATTGAAGTAGATTAATTAACTTTTAGGGATTGCAACTCTAATACCAAGTTGAGAATAATAGAATATATTAGGTTGTATCTTAACTAACCTTTCTATTTATATATATACGGTAGAATACTGCAGTAACTATAGAGATTACAATATTGGAATCATCCTATATTAATTTCCTATTATGATATATACATACTATACATTCTATAATAAGAGGGGGGAAACAAGCACAAATGAGGGATTCAAACTTACCGTCGTCTTTACTCCTCTTTCTTTACAAGAGTAGTGATGAACAAGAAACCCTTTTGTCAATACCATATGTAAAGTCATATCATCAAATGGTTAGAGAATTTACCACCTCTAATTAAAAGCAAGATTGTGACAGAAAAGCCTCTGATTTTGTGAACAGCAATGTTTTCTCATGGCATTCTAGTGCTACCGTTGCTTAAAAAATATGAGAAAATTTTATGTGACCACCCACCGCATGAAAATCTCCATGCATGCTTCTGTCAATATCGTATCTGCAGCTCGCATTGTACTCCAATGAATTGGCTATTTAGAGGAAGTTTTAATTAACTCTTTTGGTGAGGTTATGGAAACGTAGAAAATAAAAATAATAAGGGCCCGATTCCCGGCATCACATAAAATAGGGAACGTTAATATTACAAGAGTCCCAATGTACAAGGCACAGCTACTAAAATATAAAGGGCAGACCTCAGATTACTTCCCCATCATATGACAGCAACCTAGCAATATAAGTTCCTGCAGCAACAAATAGGATACTGTAACAATAAAGAAGAAAATATTGTTAGTTTCTCGATTGTAAACAACATGCACAGTAGATAATGAATAGTTGTCGAAATTGAAATTCACCTAGATTTTCCAGCAGATAACACTGGGTTGTACATGAAGAGGGGATTAGAGGACAAAAGCAAAGCATATTTTATGGTTATTTGTGTAGATCTTGGAAGTGGATGGTGTTTGATGTCGAAACGATGAATCCAAGGTTTTGTTATCGTTGGTGGGCCAAAAAAAGAAACAAATCATTTGTACCAGAGGATTGAAGGAGTGATCAAGAGGTCGGTGGAAACAAGGAGGGGACGATGAGAAGAGGTTTGAAGGAGTGAAGATGTCTGTGGAAATCATGAATTGTTGATGGAAACAAGGGGAGATGGGTAAGCGAGCGCAAGGAAGAGAGGAGATGAGGGATATTTTGGTTAAGAGATAACTGAACGGTCTTTCAACGTGCAATAACTTTGCAGAAGAATCTTCAGAAGCAAGTATTCAGTGGAAACAGATTACTGTAAACATTGTGTTCGCATTAATAAATTCATGGCGACGTGTAACCAATATTGGATTGGCTACATGACATATATATATTAACATAAAATTCACCAGTGTGATGAAAAGTTTATGTCATGACAATCATAAAGTTAATATGAATGTTGAACTGTTACAGCTTGTCGATTTGCTGGGCTACTTTCCGATTAATGGAGTCTCATTGAATTGTGTACCAGACGCTGCTTCGGCTTTAGTTCCTTCTGCTTATGTTTGAAGAGCAAATGACTGTATATGATCTCATTCCATGTATCAGGAACCCCAGGGAGACACCAATGACTGCAATCTTGGACTCTCGACGATGACCTCTCCTCTTCAGTCATATTTTGCTCCCTATATACTGAAGGATGTGCATCCCTCCGGAAATTTGTCATTCTTGTAACGTTTAGATAGAATACTGGTGTCTTCATACGCTTGAGTGTCGACTCCAGAATCTTCACCATTGGGGGATCTTCTTCAAAATAAGTCTCCTCCATAAGTGGCTTGGTCTCACTGTCACATTTACCACCAGAATCCCACTCTCCACCTCTGTGAATGGAACAAAAATGTGACAAGATTGTCATGTGAGCCTCTGTTTTCGAATCCACGGATAACTTAGGTTCTTCGTTACATACCTAAAATGAGAAACAGAATATCCCCTGAAGAAAACAAGGGTCTTGAACGGATCCGTCTTTGTTTCCACCCATCTAGCCCATGTTCTCAAAGCTTTCCGAAATGCCTTGTCGACGTTCAATTGACTGTAGACATGGCTACCTTCTTGATAGTAACCCCTCCTGCAAGTATCTGATGTTATAATTTGTTCCTTGATGATTTCCTAATAAGAATGATACATGAAGAGAGGGAACATTTATGTCACCCGTCCAAAGTTTTCTCATGAGTCCACCAATGTCCTGTGTTGAATATCAGAACATCTGCTGTTTTGTACTTGTCGGATGATCTCTCAAGCATATCAAGGCGGAGAGTTTCCTTCTTCGATCCATTTTTACCTTCCATTTCCCATTCTTGAACAAGAAATGGTGATTGAAAGAATTCCACCGAGGAATTGTAATCCTACCAATCCAAGTAAATTAATGTTTTCAAACAATGAACAGATTTCCTGTGGCACTTATAAGAGACGAAAAGGAGAATACTAAACCACGTACTTCGAATATGAAGGAGTAAGAACTCTCCGATCGAAATTCTTCTCTGCCAGAGGCTTCGAATACTTTAGACTTATCTTCCACCGAATTTCGAAGAATACAAACCAGAGATTCCCACATGTTCCTATTGAGAGAATCACCGACAAAGACTAATCTCTTCCCTCTTAACATCTCCAACATAATCTTACCATTCATCCTGCAAATTGAAGTTGACATGTATTTCAAGGATTAATATTTGATAATTTGATAGAAAAAGGGAGAAACCCCCCTGCATTTCTCAACACAATTGCTATCCAAAATCAAATATATTATAGCTAGAAATTATAAATACAGGCTCAAAATATATATCATAACAATTGAGAAGGTACAAAAACGTATGGACATATTATATGTTTACCTCGGGATATTGCAATGCCTTGGTTGCCATCTATATTTTTGATACTCACTATCAGGCCTTCCATTAATAAAACAATTGAAAGGTTCATCAATATGAGGACAAGATCCTGGTGCAAATATAGGGTAAGAATCATCCTTCCCCCATTTCCCATCAAACCAATTGCACTGCTCCATTTTCCTCACCCATTTCTCAATTTTCGTGTTCCTATCTCTCCCTTTTGAATCCAATGCCAGCACATCACTTTCAACTCTCTCTTTCTCCACAGCCCTTTTTTTATTCCCATTTTCTCTCTTCAAAGAATGCTGCTCCTCCTCACCATGAGAATCATTTCCTGCATCCATCTTCCCATGTTGTGCTACAGTGTCATTTAAACCAGCACTTAATAAAGGGTTCTTTTCAGACGTGAGATTGTATTCTTGAAACAAAGAATGAACCCCATATTTAGCATCAGCTAACGGAGATTCGTTGGGAACATGAAGAAGGGTGTGGTGTTGGTGAGAAAGAGATGAAGAATTTGAGAGAAAGTGAGAGATAAGGGAGGAAAAAGGAAAGGAATAGCCAGAAAATGATTGAATATAGAGCAAGAGAAAAGTGGATGGTATAAAGATAAACGTGAATCCAAAAGCAAATGACAAACTTTTTCTTCCTGTGAAAGGAATGAAATTAGGCTTTGATGTGTCTGCAGATTTCGTGAGTAGACGGTGTTTTGCTGAAGATATTGGTAATGATGAATCTGTCATCGTCAAAGAACTAGCTTTTGGCGCGGGGATGGAGGAAGATCCCTGCCCTGTGTAAGAACTTGCTTGGCACTTTGTGTGTTGTTTTTTTGGGTTCTTGGAGATTCATGCAAGTAATTGCATGCGTCAACCAAGATGTGTTTGATTTCTCATTTTCCTTAATATATATATATTTGGTTAAAAAAATAAAAAACGCTATTTTTATAGTTGTTTGTAGCTTTGCATTTATGTTGGTTTTATTTGACAATTTAATTGTTTATTTTCTAAAATAGCATTCATTTGTAACCATATTTTTAGTATCATTCACTATAAATAAATATCATACTGCAATTAGTAAAATTAAGATATTTAAAAATAGTTAAATGTCAATTTGATTAAGAAACTAATTTATATTTTTGCAGCTAAGAAGAATTAGCATATAAAATTATCAGAAACACATGAAATAGTAATACTCAATTCACAAATTACATTTTAATTTTTACAGAAAATAAGAAATTCTTCCATGAATTAACAAAAACTTCTATAAAACTCAACTTGTCATACTCAGAATCCAATCTATACAAATAAATATATATTTTTTAACATATTTAATTTAATTACCATCAATAGAGGAGTGTTCCTTTCTATTGAATTTTCTTTTTAAATGGCTGAAACCAAAGCTTGAAATTTGTGAAACTTAAAAATGGAATGAGTGTCGCCGAGGAGATAGCCATGCTAACTAACAGTAACACAAGCATGAGTTCTAATTTCCACAGCTCTGAAGCTAAAGCAAGAGAAACCTGAATTATTACTAGCCATCATTGATACGAGACTGTTAACTGCGGATTAAAAGCAGAAAGAAAACAAGAACTTTTCATTTAATCAGTTGCTTATGTATCAAGTTACATAAAAAATCAAATATAAGTTACACTCTGGCTTTGTACTTCTGCAAGGGCAGGACAGGGAAGCCTACGGCAAAACACTTGAAATGAAAAGTTTAGTTGGCATCAAGAGAGACCAATAACCTTGCCGGTGGCAGTGTCGAGATCAATGTCATAAAAGCAAGGCCTTGTTGGAAGTCCTGGCATGGTACTCATAGTCCCAACCAAAGGATAGATGAAACCAGCACCGATGCTAGCCCTGACATCTCGTATTGGCAAAACAAATCCAGTGGGGGCTCCTTTCTCAGACGCTTGGTGTGAAAATGAATACTGGGTCTTCGCCATGCAGATCGGCAGACCAGAGAACCCTTGCCTGCTGTACATCTCAATTTGTTTCTCAGCCTGGTTAGATATAAAGTGAAGGTCAACTTCAGAGAACATGGAATTTAAACAAATGTCCATGTTTTAAAATTTTCAGTCAAGGGCACTCCGCTGGCAAATTTCTGAACCCCGCATGACTTGAATGTGAGAGAAAACGGATTTCTCTGAATTATCTTCTATTTTAAACAAACTTCATACCTAGAAAAATGCATCAAACATCTCCCACAATGATTTTCGTTGCAAGAAAACTTTTTAATCCTTTCACAGTTGGACCATTTCAGCCCAGTTATGTTTGTCATTTTTGGTAAAAAAGGGGGAAAAATGAAAAATTAAGATTGAATGCAACTACCAATTGGGACTGCTGTACGCATCAAAACATGAACCTTCAGATAGAATTAAAAGAACCATAATGGAAATTGAAAGATAAAAAGAAGAAACAAATTCTTTACCTGCTCTGAGTATTCGACACCACTAGCACCATATGACCTTGCTATTGCCTCTATTTTCTCTTTAATACTAATGTCCAAGGAATATAAAAACTTTAATGGCTGTGTCACATTCTCACATGCCTTTTGAACTGCAATTCCAAGTTCCACCTGAGAAACACAACGCAGTGAGATAAGCAGACAACAAAAGGTTAAAACCAATACTTGGATATTTTACTGATTCTGTCTAAAGACACATGCTCAAGAAGCTAGAGTCAGATTTGTGCTACTGTAAAAAGAGGACCATTTACCAGCTTCAAGGCAACTAGACAAGACAATAAATAAATTCATATCAGGCAGTGAACTTTTCATCCACTGATATGTATATTCTGTGATCCTGATCCAAAATATGATTAGAATTATTTATTTCTTGTACAGGATGTAACCAGATGAAACAGGCAAGTGGGTGAAGCAGACATGCAAGATTTCACCTGCAGGATAATCAACTCCAACACCAGCAGTTGAAAGGATATAACACATTAAATAAAGTATGAATTATATATTAGGGCTATGATAGAAGGGAAACTGAGGAGCACTACCAATGAATTGATAGAGTAACATTAAGACACCACGGCAATTTTGGTGTTTATAATGAGGATAAAGGACATATCTTCTGCAAAGCTCAAAGCTCGGTAAACATGTGGTAGTTCTTTCTAGGTGAAAAAGTAAGAACCATGCTTATTTGGTTTCACAGAGAGCAGAGTGATGCACAAATTCATCCTGGTTCAGTATGGGAATGGAGAAACAGGAAGAAGCAACTTACTGCTCCTTTCCCACCATGAGCATGGTGTGTACAGACAACAGCATCATATGCCCCAGCAGTCAAAGCTGCATTTCTGACAGCATTAAGTTCTGCTTCTGAATCAGATGCGAACATGTTCACAGCAACAACAACATTTACACCATAAGCCTTGGTGTTAGAAATATGCCTAGCTAAATTCACACAACCGGCTTCAACCAAAGACACATTCTCAGTTGTGTAGGCACGGTCAAGAGGCTTCCCAGCAACCACTTCTGGCCCACCACCATGCATTTTCAGGGCCCTAATTGTTGCAACAATAACAGCACACTGAGGAGTCAAACCGCTGTACCGGCACTTTATGTTCATGAACTTTTCAGTTCCAATATCAGAACCAAAACCTGCTTCTGTGACCACAAACCCACCCGGTCCCACCAGCTTCAGTGCAATCTTATCAGCCACGATGGAAGAATTTCCATGAGCAATGTTCGCAAAAGGACCAGCATGAACAAGAACAGGAGTTCCTTCAAGAGTCTGCATTAAAGTAGGGTTGATAGCATCCTTCATCAGTACAGTCAAAGCACCTCCAACACCAAGATCATCAGCTGTCACAGGGTCCCCAGCCTTGCTATTGCCAATCACCATTTTACCAAGCCTCTCTCTCATATCAGCTAGAGATGTTGTGAGGGCCAAAACTGCCATTATCTCACTAGCTACAGATATATCAAATCCTGTTTCTCTCACCATCCCTTTTTCTTCAGGACCTTGTCCAACAGTAATCTTTCTCAAAAACCTGTCATTGACATCCATTACTCTCCTCCATGTTATGGAAGCTGGGTCAATATCAAGCCTTGCAAATTTTTTTACTTCTTGTGGTGTGAGTTCCTCAGGCTTGGTCTTGGAGATACCAAGCCTCTTCAGACGCCGAAACATTATGTCACTAAAGCTTCGTTTTCCTTCTTTGTTCGGTGGGCATAAGCGGTTTAAAAGAGCCTTGTCTGATTGTGTAGACTCGTGGAAAATCCGGGTATCAATAGCAGCTGCTAGGAGATTATTTGCAGCTGTTATTGCATGAATATCTCCTGTTAGGTGAAGATTGAATTCATCCATTGGAATAACTTGACTATAACCACCACCAGCTGCACCCCCTTTTATTCCAAAAGTCGGTCCTTGTGATGGTTGACGAAGGCAGGTAGCAACCTAGCATCAAAAAGAAAAGAATTCCTATCATAAACAGAGGCATATCCGGAATTACGATATCCACACAATCATTTACACCAAAAATGTAAAGAAAACAAGAAACACCACTGCCTGCTATAAAGACAAATTCATATCTAGTTTCCTAAACGTCCTCATGCACTAAAGAAACCAAGAAAAAAGAAATTTATTAGAGTGGAAAGAACTAAAATTTGACTTTGGCAATGCAGCTATTTAACCGGAGATCAGTTTCCTGGGTTGTTGACTAAAAGCTACGGAAGAATTGTGGTAGCTTTCAAGATTGCAAATTTCAGATCTATATTCTTGAAAAAAACAAAAGCCTGAGCCAACTTTACTGCTCTTTTCACCTTTCATTGCGAGGAAAAATTGCCAAAGTTCTACCATATATAAATGCAGCTGTTTAACATAGATGTACAAATAACAAAAACCAGCAAATTTATGTGTGTGAAAGCAATGGGATGTATTAACTTATTAAGACTTTGAAGAACAGAATGTGGGAATTTTTCAATTGGACATGAACAAACATTGAAAATATATGGTTCGTGTCAAGTTCATTCTAACAAGCAATTCGAGCGAACATAGATTTGGGTATTCCAACAAGAGTTTATGGCTTTTCATTACCACTGACATTCCTTCCAAAAAATATCTTAGTCCATGCACATCTCAGGCTAAAATAGTGACACTCTCTGCCTCACCAATAAAATGATGCCAACCTTCAGATGTTGATATAACTTCTACCATTAGAAAGACAAAACATAACAATGACAACAGCATGAAGCTCAGTATAAAGCAGCCAAAAGAAGTGGCCTTTCAATAAACTGTAATGAAAGCTCTATTACATCAACAACTGGGCAAGCTAGGCCAACATACACAAACGAGAAGTAGCCTTTTAATAAACTGTAATTACCGGGATTTAACAACATACCCATACAATCACTACTGAGCAAAGCTGAATCTTGAGAGTCCTCACAAAATGTGTTAGATGGTAGAACTATCTCCACAGTCATCCTTCTAGGACCTCATATGATGGGATCGTAACTAGGCAACTGCCCCCTTTTCTACTTAAAACAGAAAACGTTTTGGAGCTGATTTCTTATTTCTTCTATTATTTCTGTTCCACAGATTCTACAAGGCACTTTCCTTGTTATCAGTCAGTCCAAAAACTTAGTATGGATTATTGACTACGTCATAAAAACATAAATCAAACTGATAGCTTGAAACTAATGGAATGAAAGTTTAAAAATTTGCTGCCCAGGTAAAACTCAACAAAACTGACAGCACAAAACATGGACAGAAGGGGAAAATGAAATGAAAACAGTAAAAAGCAAGAAATGGAACAAAACAAAAGGCTACCTTTTTATCAAGAAATGCACCCAAAGCCTGACAGAGGCCAACAGTAGTAGTGGACTTCCCTTCTCCAAGTGGTGTAGGAGTAATCCCTCCAACCACCACATAGTAACCATCTCCTGATCCTTCAAGCTCATCAAGCACAGGCAATAATACCTATAAAACCAACGAACAAATCAATCTTCTTAGCCTCTCCTAAAAATATCTAAAAACCCTTTAAGAGAGATTGGATTTTCAAGAAGTTAATCCATGGAAACCATTGTTTCAAAGGAAAATCATCTACACCAATCAAGATGGTCAACATAAACAATCAAAAGAAAGCAAGAAAACAATCACTTCATAATATGACATAAATCCCATCACAAGAAGATAAAAAAAGAACTCACCTTGGCCTTGTATTTTCCATAAAGATCATAATGTTTAGGGCTAAGATTCAGCTCTTTAGCAATCTCAGATATGTGAAAAGGTTCCACTGAGTTAGCAATGTCTATGTCAGCTGGTACTGGTGACACCACCTCCAACTTCCTCAACGTTTTTGATGTACTCATTGTTTTTTGTTTCAGTACTGTGAATCTGATGCTAGAAATTCCAAATCTTTTATAGCTGAATCAACTGCTTACATGAATATTATTTAGAGGACCAGTGGAGAGAAACCATTTTACTAAAGAAAAATCAGGTTTAGTCCCTTTAAATTTAGAACAGTTTCACTTTGGCTGGCTTATATAGGTTGGATTTTATTATTTTATCAACTATTAGTTTAAAAATTTCTGGAAACGTTTAAAAATGACCCTTTAAAATGTTCAATAACTAAGAAAATCTAACAAAATGTTATCCCTTTTAATCATTTTCTTTTAGATGTTCATGTTTTGATTTTTATATTATTTCCAATAAAATAACATTATGTCAGGTTTTTAAAACAACATAAATATTAACATCTAAAAAATAACAATTAATGATGATAGATATAATTTGTTTGAATTAAATGTTTGATAATAACTATATATAAAAACATGAACTGTATAAAAAAATTTCGATTAAATATTATATTTATAATATAATACTAACACTATAATATATTTATTAATATTACTAAATAAATCTAACTCCAGCTTTAATAAAAAAAATAATGATTTTACAATATGATTTACGTGGCATTTGTATATTAAAAATCCATATAAATCTTATATAAGCACTTATATAAAACATTAAATTCAAACTGAGTAGATTTTATATCCACTTTCACCGAATAAAATAAAATAAAATAACTTTTAAAAATTCAAAGAAGTTTTCAAATTTATTTTAACATTAACTTCAAAATGTGAACATGATGAAACTTGAACAAGCCTTTGAAAAATGATTTTGAAACTTGATATTAGAATTTTTAGAGCTGGTTTGAAAAGTGGTGCAATTCGGGTTCTCAGAGTAGCCCTAAACACCATCTTAGAGTCACTTCCAAATTCAAACTTAACAAATATAAGGACCATAATGAAACAACAAGACCCAAGGCATCAAAGTATAGATATTTGTAAATTATAGGGTCTAAAATAAACTTTACCTTTTTATTTATGAAATAAGATAAATGGAGACAGAAAGCGGGTCTCGTATACTTCTTGTCTGGCTAAGGCTGTGGCTGAGGAAGGGGACGAGTGCCCGGTGAGAGGTGATAAAATAACAGCTTGGCTTTAGACTGTGACCGAATAAGAAGCGTTGAGATGTGGGTCCCAAATGAGATTCGATTGGTGTTTGATTGGAGTTGTGAGAAACGTGCTGTGATTTTAGAACCAATTGACTTCTATCAAAAACAGAAAAACAAGATGGAGAAGCGGGGTATCGATCCCCGTACCTCTCGCATGCTAAGCGAGCGCTCTACCATCTGAGCTACATCCCCGTATATTGTTCGAAATGCTGCTTTATTTTTATTATAGTACATAATAGACAGAAGAAATAGCGACATGAAATGGATGCTTAGTTGAGTTCAATTTAATTTTATGTTTTAAGTAGTTTTATATGAATTTTATTAGATATAACTAATGATTGATGATAATATTTTTAGATGATGTAGTGGTTAAGCTGGCAACATGATTAACTTGATTGAGTTTAGGATTTTATCCAAAATAACATTATTTTAAAATAAATCAAGATTGATATGTGATTTAATATAAATTCTAATAAATTCAAGACCTGAATCTTTGAATCTTAGATTGGATGAGATAACTATAGTCTTTTAATAGTGGGGTGACTTAACCAATGCATGCGTAAATGATGTGTGCCTGACTTTGGATTTTGACTATACCTAGCATTTTGCACTTAATAAGTGCTAGATTTCTTTTTAACAATTATAATATTGTAGAATATCGGTACCGTAATTAAGTCAGAAAAGAAAACAAGGAACAAGATTTCTTGAAACAAGGGGTGATTACGGACAAGACTTCTTGAAGCAACTTACTTGTGTCAATCTCATCCGATATTGAAGTACTCATGTATCATATGAGAAATAATTTTTTTTTAAAAAAAAAAAACGCACTTGATTGTGAAACAAGTAAAATCGTACTAAAAATTCAATGAAAACTATATGCATTATCAGTTCAGATAATGTAGATGTGGCAAGAGATATTTCTAAGTTGATAGCTGTTGCTCAGCTACCAGTCAATACCAAAGCTTAATGTTTCTGTGCTAAAAGAGGAGAGTTCTTTGTGGGTAAGAATTTAGCTCATGAAGTGCTGTGGTCAGCTGCACCTTCTGCCTTTCTTGATGTTTCTGTGCTGAAAGAGGACAGTTCTTTGTGGGTAAGAATTTAGCTCATGAGGGGCATTTACTATTGCCTTTACCTACATTTTTGTGCCTCATGCTTTATAAAAGGCAATTATCCCTGGTTTTGTGCTGATTATAAGATGCATAGTGACCTTTTTGGTTAGACTTTTTGCTTATTTATAGCTTCAAGTATGACAAGAATATTGACATGTCCATGATTCCTGTTGCAGAAGATGAGTCTTGAAGCTAGTAGGTATTTGTAAAGGGATATTTCTGCTTGTCACATGATGTCTACCTAGGTTTGTTCCAAGTTTAACGAGGATTCAGGTTGCTGCAATTAATTGGCCGAAAATTATTCAGAATCCCAAGAAGTCTGTTTTACCTATGGACTGCACATCCAATCCCTTCTCTCAAGATTGTGCAGGAAGTGATCACTCACGTCGACAAGATGATGGAGAAAAGTTATCCTACAGAAATATTTTTGTCGACATGGAAGAACAATCAATTCCTTGCACACCAAGGACGGCTCAAGCTTGTAAGAAGATTCCCGTTACAGTAATCACCTCTGTCAAGCATTCTAAGGTCAAGATTTACATATTTGAAACTTATTTCACTCTCAAGTACACAAATTATTGCCTTTGTTGGTGTCGAAAGCATCGATCCAGCACGACAAGCTAGTGACCGATCTCATTCGAGCTTGTTCTGTTAGGAAATTATCAAACTTAGTTTACTGGTACTTGTATGTTGATTTGTAGCATTCAAATGGAAGAAAGATGATCAATGAGTATGTAAAAGAAAGGAAGATCAACCAAGGAAGCTATGGTAGAGTGGTAAGCATGTAAACAACATATATATTCCTTATATTCTATTCTGTGTCTGTTTAACAGTAAGGTAATAGTGTATTTGGTGCAGGTTCTTTATCGAAACAGTAACGATGGAATCCCATATGCTATTAAGGTAAATACACCTAGTTATAATGATTATTTGTTTTAATTATCCATAATTTTACTCCTCCAAGCATAAATATGATTGATAAAGGAAATTAACCTCAAAACAGTGTCGATGCACTCGTCTTCTCTTGAATTCATTGCTATATATATGGATTTCACTCCTTGTTAGTCCAGAATTTCTGACCTGTGAACTACCTAGAAAGCTTTGTGAATCCAAACGAGGCAATATTGAACAAGATTTGCAATGCTTAAAAACGATAAATTCTATGGCGTTATCTTGACGGATATTACGTAAATCAAGATGGTACCAGGGGTGACGCAGTTGAACTTAAAGAATAGAACTTAAAGAAAGTCAAATTTTAGAAGAATATTGGATGGCATATACAAACATAATTTGCAATTTTATTATTCAATAATTCTCTTATAATAATTCTACTAATATGGATCATACCTTTTAATCGGTATTACTTTTTTATAAGATAAGAATAATTAAAAATCAAATATAAAAATAACATAAAAATCAAAAATCAAGTCAGAAATCCAAAATTAATTAGAAAAACAATGAAAATACTAAAAACGACAAGTTAATAGTCTTCCTGACCGCAGTTGATTATAGCAAACCCATTATAGATGAAAGATAAAATTTGAATCCAATATAAAATCTAAAATTATAAATTTTCTATCAGACTTGGCATAACTAGATATCTCCACGATCCTGGACCTATACATATCTGCTATCCACATATAAAAATATAATAAATCCATTTCAGATTAATCAAAACCTCTTGCATCAAGGAGGAGTGAAATAACTTGGTATCACTCATTGATACAGCCAGGTTCCATAGCCTTGGTGCACTACGGTGCTTGGATTGGTTGCTTTGATTTATCAAACATTAACATACCTACCCTCTAAGGTTTGATCCCACCAATTAATTTTCTTAATATCTTGAACCATAATGGATGATCTCTTTCTGTAACTGCACATTCATATATGATCACCATGATTAATATCATTCCATGTTTATTGTAGGTTGTTTGTAAGTCTCGTTTGCGCAAGTTGCGCATCACACAATCAGAAACGGCCATGACTGATGTTCTCAGAGAAGTAAGAACTCGATCGTGTCTCATTAATGTATTTCTTTGTTTTTATGTATGCTCAAACTCAAGGCTTGCCTTTTCTTTTGATCATGCTGTTATGTTGTTTTATTCTCTCTTTTTTCTTAGTAAGGTTAATTATTTAGGGTTCCATCAACTGTGATTCCACATCTTGCAGCTACTATCTTGAAGCGGGCTAAAAGCTCTATGAGTTGTAATAATTCAGATATCTATATTCAGTTCTCATCAGCGGTTCCTCTAGATTCTCAAGAACATGTTCTGGATTTGTTGCATAAAGATTTTCCCTAGACGCAAGTAGCTTATCTGGTGAGAATTTTCTTGCCTGGCATGGTCCAGTTTTTGACAAATTCTGATTGTGGATAGAGCTGCTCACTCTGTCTCATACAAGAACAAATAGCCCCAATATGCAATCTGATTGACACAAAATTTCCCAGACGAATATTATGTTTTTTGGAAAAATATAATGGCTGGCCATTTGATGCATTCTGAATAGGTCTATTAGTCTTCGGAAACTGTGGAACATTTTATCACCAACTCCATATTCTTGGTTGCGCCGTGTCCATATTATAGTAAGGAAGTTGATGGTTGAAATGTGCGTTTCTTGCAGGTTTCCATATTGAAAACATTGGAACATCCAAACATAATCAACCTAGTTGAGGTGATTGATGACCAAAAATCTGATTACATGTATATGGGTATGGATAGCCTCTTCCATATGTTTTGAAGCATGTTTTTCAAAAATCTTACAAGGACTATTGTTTTGATGCGCTTCTATCTCTCTTTTGGCACATGGTTGTTATCATCTAGTTCTTGAATACGTGGAAAGCAGTTGTATGAGCAAAATTTTGGAGACGAAAGGACATATTGATGAAACAAGTGCAAGAAGATATTTCAAGGATGTAATTGCCGGTCTCATTTATTTGCATCACCACGTAAGTTGCCAATCTCTTGAAGCCGTTTCCCTTTGTAGAAAAATTTGAATCTTTCTCCCTTATTTGTAGCAGAACATCGTGCATGGTGATATTAAGCCAGAAAATGTTTTGGTCACTACAAGTGGAAGGGTGAAGATAGTTGATTTCAGCTTTGGCCATGCCTTTGAGGTAATGCTATTCATTACGACTTATCTGCTAATCTATTCATGATTCTTCTTCTTCTTGTTTTTGTTATAAAATCAATGGTTTCACAGGTCAAGAACTCAACTAAATCTTCTCAACACTCCTTCAAACTGTGAATTTAAGCTTCTTCTGCAGACCTATACCAAACTCATCTTATTTAGGAATTCTAATTTTCAGGATGACAATGATGGGCTATTGAGATGTCCTGGAACTCCAGCTTTCACAGCACCTGAGTGTTATTCAGGTACATTCATTATAATTTCCATGAACCCTCAGGTTGCATTTGGGTTTTTATCTCATGACATAGGGGATATATATAAAAGAGAAAAGTGTTTGATTGAAGAAACACAGATAAAACTATAAAATAAATTTATTTTTAAAACAGTTTTAAATTAAGTTTATATTTTCAGAATAAAAATTACAAGAAGACGTATTTCTTCTATCCTCATGAATTTTATTCTGAAACATACAGTAACTAAACTCCATGTAAGGGTTCTCTATCTAAGGGTTCATTTGTCGGCAGAAGTGGTTTCGACCTCTATCGTTATGTCTAGAATGCATATGAAAATCAAGTTGGAAACAACTTTTTCACATACTTCTAGAATCCAGAATTTCATTAGCTAGTCCATGAATGTGAAATGACATAAATAAGTTATTTATGTTCCATGAAAAGAAGCAGAGTCCAATACTGTGGAATTAATTATTAATAAGAATTCTTGGATTGTACCAGATACAGTTTACCATGGGAAAGCTGCTGATACATGGGCTGTTGGTGTTACCTTATATTTTATGGTGGTGGGCTGCTGCCCTTTTCTTGCCGATAGTGTACCTGAAACTTACGACAAGGTAATTTTCACACTTAGTTTTCTCTTGCGCGTGTTTATCTTTAATGTCTATTAAACTGTTAGAAATCTAGTGACAGATTGTTAATGGTCCCTTGTCACTCCCAGAAGAATTAAATCCTGACCTCAAAGATCTGCTCCAAGGCCTTCTCTGTAAAGGTAATGTATCCCTACAATTTTAGAAGTCTAATTTTGCTAAAGAGCTATCAAAATACTGGGAAGTACCAAGTTTCCAGATGCCTATTTTGAATGAATTTGCAAGAATTTCTACTAGCCATCAAATGTCGGAACTTGCCAATTTATTATCTCCTCTTGCTATCCTGTTATATACAGATCCAACCCAAAGAATTACCTTGAATAGTGCAGCTGAGCATCCATGGATGGTCAAAGAGGGAGGCCCAGTCCCTATAAACTGCTTATAAAGCTGCAGGAAGAGCAGATGACAAAGCCTAAAGGGCCCGAGCAAATATTAGTTCAAAAGTCTTGTAAATTTATTAAATTATTCAATTTAAAAAAGAAATCCATGATTATAGCATTATCTAATAGAATTAATTACATAATTTCAAAGATATTTTCAACTCGCTGAGGTTAAGATCCATAATCATCAAAGATGGAATCTTGGGTGAATGATCCTGAACCCCTTGATAATGGTGATGGCTCACTGCTGCCTAGCGGTATGTCAGAAACAGCATCCAAGAAACCACGAATGCTACGACAACGAGCATGTTTGAAACTGAATGATCTTGTCTTGTTCTTGGAGAAGATATTTGAAGAATTTGAAAGAATCGCATAAACCAAGACTTGTACAAGCACAAACATGGCCACCTTGATCAAGATTTCAGCTAATGATGCCTCCACCTCCATTACTCAAGTGAAGAAAGAAATCTAGCCTGATGATACTCGTATGTGTGATCAATCTGAATATTATGACAATGATGCTTGAGGATGCTGCTTATATAGAGAAGAACTTGAAGGGTTGCTAGAGAAGCCACATTTGACTTGTGGTTGAAGCCATAGAAGTAATGAATTGACCGCACGCCAAGAAAATTGAAAAGGAAGCTTCTGCCATGTCCAGAACTGAATGCTTTTTGGTTTCTTACAAGAAAATAAGTGTATGCGTGTAAGAAGATACTTCCATGTGCCTTGATCTTTCTTTATTGTCATCAGATTATAATTTATATTGTTACTAGGACAAAAGTATGCATTTAATATTCTATAGCTTTTGCCATTACAATTCAAAATGTACAATTAAAATACACATTGTATTACAAAAACAAACGTTAAAACCGACCTAAAGAAATGATAAAGAAAAGGCCAAGCTAGAGGTTGAGTCCAGCTCAAATTCAATGCATGGATAGATGTGGGACCTTCAAAGAAAGACCAAAAAAATATTGCCATGGAAGAAGAGAGAAAGGTGACCTTGCCGAAGGTGATGCGAAATGCGACCCAGAAAAAGTTTGTGCTGTAAGCTGATTTGGCCTTTAGAAAGCATGCCGCGGCTTCCCTTCCGTCTACGCCTTGATAATATTTAGTTATATATATAAAGTACATAGAGGGCTTAAAACGTGCGGTAGTCATGCACTCTACGTACCAAATATTTTCATGAAAGGAACTTTATCGTAATAATCAATGCCGGTACTTGAAGCTAATTAAATACATAAGAACAATGCCTTAGTTAAAAACAATAAGATATAAACATAAAATAAATAAAGATACATCTAGAATAAATTTATATCATTTTAAAATAAAAATTATTAAAACTCATGTTTCTTTTATCCCGATTATTTTTGTCTTTTCTATTCCAAAACAGTAGTCAAATGGAACTCGAAAAACCCATCTTAAGGCAAATTTGCAAGGTGGACAAGATCTTTCATACACCCACAATCACTAGCACACCACAAGCAGCAACATTTACAAACAAATTGATTTTAAAAAAGAAATCACAACTTGATTTCAAATAAATAAATGCATCCTACCTGCTACGTCCTAGTTTCACTGCAAGTCCATAAATATATGCCAATTGCCAACTAAAACACACACCACACTGAACGAAGGGTTAATTATTGCGTGATTCGTAAGAATCACTATATACTAATCCACCCTCGTAAAATGGGGAGTCTCATAATCATTTTATAACGAGTTTTACGTAATTCATATACATGATGAGCTCTCGAGCATTTATGAGAAAAAAATGTTGAATTTAAGTTTATAAATTGCCCTTTCGAGCATTTTTATCAATAAATATTTATAGCACAAAATCCTTGTTAAGAACTCTCGTTGTCTAGACCAATATTGCCGTCCTTGTTAACACAATAACACCAGAAAGACTCTCTTTGGGCTAAAACCTTCCTATAACAAAAACTACAACAAAAGCATCTTCCTGGTCCAACTGTGGGCCGCTTTCAAACGGGCCCTAGGGTTTCATCTCTAGATTAGGGCTTCATGAAAACGTGTCAAAAAACCAACAAAACTACATGGGCCGATGGTGGGCCGTGTAACATGGGCCTTAGTGCTTGATGAAAACAAGCCTAGAAATCCCAGAAATTAATAAGCTTGTGGCCATGCGCATGTAAGGAGGATTCTTTCTCCTTGTTCCCTTCTATTTATAAGAAGGATGACGTCTTCCCCTCATCATATGGCATAAACCTCTTCTAAGGCGTTAATGAGAAAGGGAAGAAGAAAACACTTGTTGCTCCATCCCCACTAGCACAACATTAATTTACTCGTATGCTTAGAACCCTAAATCTTATTATCTTTCCACTAATTCTCTTGGTATGGTCTCTCTTTTTTCTCAGCATTCATTGTCTTGTATGATTTGTATTCATTTATTTAGTTTTTTAAAAAATTGTTTTTCTGTCATTACACGGAATTTCTTCTATATTTTGCTCTATGTAGTAGTGCTTAAGTTCACAAGACATACATGGATTTATATTTATTAGAATTTATTGTTGTTAAAAAGAGATATTCTAAACCAAGGTTACAAATTAAGTAAGATTTTATTAGCATTATGTTTTTATGTTTGTTGGAATTCATGGTCGGTTTTCTTTTTTCTTCTTTTTTTTTCTTTGTGATAATAAATTTTTAAAAATAAAAAAATATTTTAATACATTTTCAAGTAAAAAAACAATTTAAAAATTAATATTCATCCCAATATCAAATATTTTTGAAGAATTTTCTATCGTATTTATATGTTTTGTTTTGTGTATGGTGTCAAAATTCAAAGCCCAAATCAACTCTTTTTTATTTCTTGAGTTTTGACCTTTTAACTCAGAAGCCAATAAATATGCAACAACTCTCACTTATGTACAGATTCTCACCATGCTTTTATGAGACTTAATGCAATATGATTTGACTTGAAATTTGAATATAAAATTAGAAGGATTGACTTGTAGACCGGTAAATTAACCCAATTTTTGAATTTCTTTCTAAAATCTCTATAACAATGTTGATTAAAAACAAAAAAAGAAAAATAGGTGTTTTTTTTTAAAGACTCAAGAGTAATTAATGATCACCAAGTTGTTCTGCAGGGTATTATAACATTAATTATCATCATTATTTATATTCAATTTATTGTTGTATTTTAAAAGAATTTAAAAAAAAAAAAAAATTTTTTATTTTAAATTAATATGTTTTTTGTATTTTCAAATTATTTTAATGTATTAATATCAAAATTAATTTTTAAAATAAAAAAAAATATTATTTTAATATTTTTAAACACTCTGTTAAATCCTTTATCAAACATTTAACGGTCCGATCCGACCTCAAATCAATCAAAGACTCATTAAGAAACTTTGCGTAGAGGAAATGTCACCTTCCACGATGGGAAATCCAAAGCCGAAGAAAAAAGGTGCCGGCAACACCACCAGCCACTAGTTAAAGGCGAGGCAGGCCCGTTGATAAATATGTAAAAGACAACAAAAATAATATAAAATAATGTATATGCTTTCAAAGCTGTACACGTATTTCCTCCCTTGCTCCTATCACCGGATATAGAGTACCTGTCTTTTAATTTAATATATTTTGCAGATTTTCTGTGTTATTCTCATTTCTTACTTGAATAGTATGAAATGATCCAATAATTCATCGACTCGGTAAATTATTTTTAATTTTTTGCTCAATACAAATTGTTTCCTATTTTTTATCTCTGTCTAATTTTATTTTGTTTTTTATGTTTTTCTTTAAAAAAAAAAACAGAGAAACATGGAAGGACAGTTATTTGGGGATACATGAGTTTACCTGCCAACCCAAACCTAGGCTTGATAACTAGGATTTTAGATCGAGTTTATACATCTCGAATCAATACATTCATGAAGAAATTATTTCTTGTAAATCTTTTTTATTTGAGTTTTTCTTTTCTTTTCCAACGATGAACAAATATATTATCATTAACTGAGGAAACTAAATCCTTTTTTTATTCGAAAAACCTATACAATTTACATCACTTGAAAAGCAAACAGACTTGCAACCTAAGATAGCACATAAAGATGGATCTTTTGACTCTTGTATTTATCATAGCTTGCTTCTAGTCAATTTTTAAGACACGCAATTTCCGGGCCTGTAGTACTGCTTATGGTCACACGTAACCAGTTTCTTTGTTACAATTATTGGAAGGCTCAAGTGGATTGCATATTCAAGAGTTTGGACTTAGTGTCTCCTTATCTGGGGTGCCACCAATATTTGGCCTGTTTGCACTGCTTCTTCTCTTTTTTCTTGCCTTAGCCGGTTGTTTATCAAGTTTATGGGCTGAAATTCTCATCAGGTTGCTGCAGTTCTTGGTTAGATTTTGCTAATTTAAATTTTTTATTTTTTGTTCAATAGTGTTTTGGTTACTCAAATTTTTCGTACATGTGTTGCTTTGATTGGTATTTTTCAATTTTATGATTTACATGAACAGTTTTGGCTTCGATTGGGTGCTGAATTGCTTGTTTGGAGTTTGGGATTGTGATTCAACCTTAGTTTTCATCTGGGTGGTTTTTGTTTTCCTGGAATTTGCTTGAAGATGTAGAATCAACTCCATGTTGGGATGTTAGATTTGCTGATAACTCTGTCTTTCCTTCCTTTCATTTTTGAGATAAAGTAGTTGGATTTTGCTATGATTTTTGGTATAATCCAACTGCTTGGATCAAACAATTGTTTCACCTATAGTGAAATTGAGATGGTTGTGCGAGTACCAGCAGCTATTTGACGATTCTTTTGTGACTGAAACTTGTCTTTGCTAGTTGAAGATGCATTGCTTTTTGTTCATATAAGAAGAAACACGATGCTCGTATAACGGCCATATACGGATACATCAGTGTTCCCAGGTCTTTTCAATTGCTGCTGTGTTTTAGGGCTTTTTGTTGTTTTTCTTGATTCTCAGTCCATGCTGCAAATCCAAGTTACTGTCTAATCTTTCAAGGAGGCAGATTAATGAGCATAGAATTCCCGAAAATAATAGCTTGTGGAAAATTGATTTTAAGTTAATTATGTTTAACAGGATAGACAATTGAGAAGAGATATAGAACCTGGTTCCTTATTCAGAGATAGAGAAAAATTTTCTAGCATTGACAATTGGGAAGAGAAATATTACAAGGGCCCCAGGAGGTATCATCAGTTAGGAAGAGATCGAGTCAAGCATTGCATATCTCGGATCATGATACGGGCCATATGGCAACTTCTGCTGCTGAGTTAAGAGGCTCCCATTTCAGAAAAGCTGCAACTCCTAACACTGGAAATCTGGGAAAACAATCAACTAGTAACATGCAAGACCTTCTTGACTGTCCTGTTTGCTTCACTATGATGTACCCTCCAATTTTCCAGGTATGCTCCTGCCAGAATATTATGCCAGTTGATCATAAGCATAGTACTTAGAACACCAGAAGTTTCCGGTTTTATATTATTGTAATGACATTTTTACTAATGTTCTGTGTATTTCAGTGTCCAAATGGCCACACTCTATGCTCACAATGCAGGGCCAGAGTAAAGAACTGTTGCCCAATTTGCCGAGGAGAGCTAGGAAATATAAGGTGCTTGGCTCTGGAAAAAATTGCTGAGTCAATAGAACTTCCTTGCATGTACCAAAGTGCGGGATGTTGTGACATATTTCCCTACTACAGCAAGCCACAACATGAAGAGAACTGCAAATATCGTCCATACAACTGTCCTTATGCTGGAGCTGAATGTTCTGTCACTGGTGACATTTCACTTCTCATCAAGCATCTTAAGAATGATCATAAGGTTGATATGCATGATGGATGCACCTTCAATCACAGATATG